AATGTCTTAAAATATGTATATATATTGATAATATTAGTCGTCAATATAAAAATTTCCTAGGGGAAAGAATTCAGGTAGAGCTCAGTGTCCAGGACAGAGCTAGAATATAATATCAAAAGCTCAAACACTAATATGCCATGGTTATAATTTATTAGTACGATCAATTCATCAGACCTACAAATTCAAAAAAAGTTTCCGGTTTCATTTTGAATTTGTAGGTCTGATGAATTGATCGTAAATAATGATTCCAATGTAATAAATTATAACCATGGAATATTAGTGTTTGAGCTTTATATATATATATATATATATATATATATATATATATATATATATATATATATATATATAATTATTTTTTTAAAATATGATTCCACCGCGGCACAGAAATTACTGTTTGCAGTATTAAGTTCAATTTCAATATTAAACTTTATTATTAAATGGATTAAGTTCAACAATTATTTAATATATTTTCTGTTTCTACGTTATTCTTATAGATATAATTTATTCAAGTAAATGCTCTGTTTTTTTTTTTTAATTCAACAGTATTAATTACATTTACCGCTCTGAGTGTTCATGACTCGCTTACATATTTATAAGTCTACCATTCGTTCATGCTTTGAATGTTGCTGCCACATATGGCCTGGTACTTCTGCTGTATAATTAGAGATTGTTGATAAAATCCAAAAAATAATCAGCTGTATTATTGGTCTTGACCTGGCATCTTGACTTCAGTCATTTTCACACTGCTATAATGTATCTTCCCTGTGCCTTTTCTATAAATATTTTCATCGTAATTTTTCAGATGAACTCATCGCTATGGTACCTAGACTTTATTAATTTAAGCGCAGTACTAGATTGGCGGCAAGGTCTCATCATATATTTTACAGCTGAAATGGCGAGATGTAACCCTAAGTTCTATGCTAATAGTTTCTTCTCTTTCTTGTGGAACTCCCTTCCGACTCCATGTTTCTCTTTTTTGCTTATTCTTTCACACTCAATAACCCACGTTGTGTCTTACTGACTTTACTGCTTTGCATGGGGTGAAATGATTAAAAAATAAATTAGCTTTAGCACAGTAGTGACAATTCACACAGTGGATTAAATTATAACTTATTTAACTCCATTAAGATAGGGATTGAAAGTGCATTTACATCACATAATGTTATGGAAGGGAGAATAACACTCTGAAGGAATCTAGAAAAATAGGTAAAAGGGACATTACAGACAAGCAAGTAAGATATTGGTTCTAAAGTAAAGTCTTCGAGAAACGAAACCAGTTTCCTTTTGAGGGGGGGGTTCAGACATGTTTTTAATTTTGGAGGGTTCTCGTCTTTTCTTGAGTTAGGAAAATTGTATTTCGTTTTTTACATAAATAATTGGTTTTAATGCTTAAATGATAAAGTAAATATTTATATATGTCTTCACTTTATTTTCGTTTTCTTATTTGGTTTGGTGGTATCTTAAGTACTATTAAAGTATCAATTGTAGGCGTTTATGTTTATAACTAAATTTGCATTTATTATTGCTTGAATTTATGTGCATAAGCCCGTATTTGTACGTTTCCGCACACGTACACACACACACAGAAAATACATATAGGTATCTAGATATACATTCGTGTACATATATACACATGCAAGCGCGCATACACAAGCACAAGTACACTTGTGTTTGGGGTTTATTATTAATAAACTAGTGCTTAAAGTGTAATTTTTTGTTTGTTTTTAGGTTATTAGTTATGGTTGGTTATGTTTATGGAGTATTTTCTTTATTGTTTGAAGATATGTACATAGAGTATACAATATTGCCTTTGTTTTGTATATTGAGGTATTAATTATGGAAAATTAGGTTTGTTTGTATGATAATATATTCATATGTACATGCACACACATACACGTATAGATGTTTATATTAATGCTTTTTGTGTATTTATTTATTTTAAAGTTTATATTATATTTATTTCATTCATTTATTTATTTAAATAATATATATTGCCTTTATTTTATTTATTTATTTTTAATTAGTGCTTAGTTAGCAAAGTAAGTATTTATTTATATGCCTACATTTACCCGTTATTTCAGTTTTCTTGTTTAAGTTTATTTTGGTTTATAAAAATAATTATTGCTAATTTTTCCTCTAAGCATTGTTTACAATTTTTTTTTTTTTTACTGTTAATACTGTATGGAGCTCCCCCCCTTTTATAATTTCCCATTTGATTTTGGTGGGGGTATTGTTTTCTCTTTGACTCTATATGTATTTTGATAGGGTTGTATTATTTGTATATTTTTCTTTCAAAGAACATTTTGCGGTTATAGTGTATTTTTTAAGTTTTTTTTTTTTCTGTCGCGCGTATATATTTTTTCGTTTGTGTTAATGCTATTAATCACGATAGCTTTGTATATTATGTTATTGGTTGAAAATTTATTGTTAAGTGGGTAATTTTCTTTTGTTCCTGCAGTTATATTTTTTGGCGTTATTTTGATGAATGCTATTGTTGTTGCTGTAATTGTTAATGACGTTGTTGAATTTTTTTATTGTACTGAGTTATTATTTTCTCCATGTTATCAATGCAGCTGTAACTAATTTTGATTGTATTTTTGTTGATAATTTGCATTTTTAGGGAAGTGTTTGTCAATTATTGTGAAGAATATTTTCACTATTTCTGTTTTCATTGTATTGTTGTAGGGGGCTCTTTATATATATATATATATATATATATATATATATATACTTTCAGAGAGAGAATATCTGTAAAAGAACAATATGAATAAAGACAAAAGGAAAGCTTAGCCGTCGCGTTTTGTTCTCTGAGAGACTTTATCAATCTCCTACTCATTTTCATTTATTAGTCATTGAACTGTATCCCTTTACGTCCATTAACGTGCCTGACTTTTCCGCTAACCTGATGAATATTCATGAGCACGCTTATACAAAAATAAAAAAAATTTGAAAAACAATAACATTTTTGCTCTTGTATATAAATACTTGTCACAAAATAAAATCCTTATATTGGCTTATGTGCCGTCTAAGATAAGTTTCCCTTTAGTCGTTATCCATATATATATATATATGTGTGTGTGTGTGTGTGTGTATGTGTCTGTGTTTGTATTGATGTAATAGGAAATAATAGTTAGACTGATGATCCAAAGTTCTTCAATAATTTTGTTTTTATTTTTAAAAAACAGTACTCGATACAGAATTAGAGCTTAAAATTATAATTATTTTTTTAAATATGATTCCATCGCGACACAGAAATTACTATGTTTCGAAACTGGTCCACAAGTGTTAAATTTTAATTTCAATATTAGATCTTAACTTTAGATGACCGTTTCATTCTCAAGCGATGCTTGGAATAACTCACCAAAGAAGTGTTTTACTCATTTATAGTTTGGAAATGGAGGCGTAATCTGGGGTTTGTTTTTCATTAGCGAGGGGTTTCTGCTTTGCTGAAAACTTTAATACTTGTGAACCAGTTTCGAGACAGTAATTTCTGTGTCGCGATGGAATCATATTTTTAGAAAATAATTATATATATATATATATACATGCACACACACAAACCACATACACACATATGTGTGTGTGTGTATTTCTGTATTATTATATATATATATATATATATATATATGTGTGTGTGTGTGTGTGTGTGTGTGTGTGTGTGTGTGTGTGTGTGTGTGTGTGTTACTCAAAATATGTCACACTAAATGTGTTACCCAAAACTGTTACCCAAAATTTAAGGTCTTGTGCGAACGTAGTCCTGGCTTTTGCTGTATAGCTGTGTGCATGCCTAAAGGAACACTTCGAATAACACGGTGAAAACTTTATTTTAATTCAAGAATTTTTTTATTTGTCATTCCTTGCAGTTTTGTGGATTCGCCCGTTTATCTGGTGTATGAGGGGAGGGATGCTCGTTTATATGAGTGCACATGCGTGTGAGCGCCTGTGTGTAAATACGCGTAGTTTATCAACTTAATATACGCGTGTCTTTTTGATAATGGCATTCACCACTCATTGCATGATTCCAAACTGAAGAAACTCTTTTAGATCTAAAACTTCTGCGGTCTTCAGCTGACTTTCCTCTTCAGACACTTTCAAATCTCCCTGACCGGCAGATATTTACTTTTTCCCTTCCATTTTCGTTCTGACAATAATTTTAATTTGATCAAAACGACGCATTAAACATTAAATGGCATTAAATTGTCTTGTTTGTTGAACGACGAAAAACGACGCATGCGCACAAGAAAAATTTTTTTTTTTTTTTTATGTAGATTTTAATTTGATTTTATTTACTTGTTTAATCCGGTCAATTCTCGTTTCCTTGAGTCGATGAATTTAATTTTTCTTTTCCTTTTTCTTTTCCTTATTAATTTTGAAAGGAAACTGAGCATATGTTAACAAAGCCCAATTTAAAAAAAATTAAATAAAGAGAGAGAAATTCTTAAATCCTACACACAAGAACAGCAGAGAAAGTTTTCATTTTTCAATGTTTTTCCTTCTGATGTTTATTGAATATTAAAGTTTTAACTGTTTTATATATTATTTTATTCTGGGCAATATTTTTTGTCAATTTAAAAAACATTGTCACTTTTTTATTTCATTTATAGAATTTTACTCGGTTATAAAAAAAAAAGTGTGTTTATTTTATTTGTTACAAAAGCAATATTAAGATTCTACAATACTGAATATTTATTATTATTATTATTATTATTATTATTATTATTTCGATAATACACTTTTCCCGATTTTGTATGTCTTCCGTCTTCCATCTTGGGAGATTTTATGGTTTTCCCGCTTGCATTATATTCGTGAACCCTTTTTTTACTTTGGCTTTGGGAGAATCTCTTTTTCAATTCAATACGAGTTTCTACCCCAAACTTCGTTGGTGTTCTCTTTCTCATTTCTTTCTTTTTTCATTCATGCAACTTGCTTGTCTTCTTTCCTTAATTCTGTAATTTAATTTGTTTATCATCTCTTTTCTCCACACTGATGCTAGATACACGGATATGAATAGACATAGATAGATAGATAGATAGATAGATAGATAGATAGATAGATAGATAGATAGATAGATAGATAGATAATGAGAGAGAGGGGGGAGAGAAAGAGAGAAAATAGGATGACTGAGATAGATAGATAGATAGATAGATAGATAGATAGATAGATAGATAGATAGATAGATTGATAGATAGATATGAACGGAGATTAATATGAACAGACTGAAATAGATAGATAGATAGATAGATAGATAGATAGATAGATAGATAGATAGAGATAGATAGATAGATGAATTGACTGAGATAGACAGACAGACTGATAGATTGATAGATTGATAGATATGAACAGAGATTAATATGAACAGACTGAAATAGATAGATAGATAGATAGATAGATAGATAGATAGATAGATGAATTGACTGAGATAGACAGACAGACTGATAGATTGATAGATAGATATGAACAGAGATTTATATGAACAGACTGAGATAGATAGATAGATAGATTGATAGATAGATAGACAGACTGATAGATTGATGAGATAGATATGACAGACTGATTAATTGAACTGACTAAATAGATGAACAGAGATTAGATATGAACATGATGAGATAGATAGATATATAGATGAATTGATAGATAGACAGACAGACTGATAGATTGATAGACTGAGATGAACAGATTAATATGAACAGATTGAAATAGATTGATAGATATGAACAGAGATTAATATGAACAGACTGAAAGATAGATAGATAGATAGATAGATATATAGATAGATAGATAGATAGATAGATGAATTGACTGAGATAGACAGACTGATAGATTGATAGATAGATATGAACAGAGATTTATATGAACAGACTGAGATAGATTGATAGATTGAATTGAGATTAATATGAACAGACAGAAATGGATAGATTGATAGATAGATATGAAGAGATAGATAGATAGATAGATGAATTGACTGAAATAGATAGAGACTGATAGAGATATATATGAATAGATTAGATGAACTGACTGAGATAGACAGATAGGCTGATAGATAGATAGATAGATAATGATATGAACAGATAGATAGATAGATGAACAGACTGAGATAGACAGACAGATATGATAGATTGATAATATGAACAGACTGAAATGAATAGACTGAAGATAGATAGATAGATAGATAGATAGATGAATTGACTGAGATAGACAGACAGACTTATAGATTGATAGATAGATATGAACAGAGATTAATATGAACAGACTGAAAAATAGATAGATAGATAGATAGATAGATGAAGATAGATAGATAATAGATGACAGACTGAGATAGATGAACAGATAGATAGATTGATAGATAGATAGAGAGATTAATATGAACTGATGAGATAGATAGATAGATAGATAGATAGATAGATAGATTGACTGAGATAGACAGACTGATAGATTGATAGATATATGAACAAAGATTAATATGAACAGACTGAGATAGATAGATAGATAGATTGATGAAATAGATAGACAGAATGATAGATTGATAGATAGATATGAATAGATAGATGAATTGACTGAAATAGACAGACAGACTGATAGATTGATAGATAGATGAAGAGAGATAGAATATGAACAGACTGAAATAGACAGATAGACTGATAGGGATTGATAGATGAATTGGACTGAGATAGACAGAACAGACTGAAAGATTAGATAGATAGATATGAACAGAGATTAATATGAACAGACTGAAATAGATAGATAGATAGATAGATAGATAGATAGATAGATAGATTGACTGAGATAGACAGACAGACTGATAGATTGATAGATAGATATGAACAGAGATTAATATGAACAGACTGAGATAGATAGATAGATAGATAGATAGATAGATAGATAGATAGATAGATAGATAGATAGATTGACTGAGATAGACAGACAGACTGATAGATTGATAGATAGATATGAACAAAGATTTATATGAACAGACTGAGATAGATAGATAGATTGATTGATTGAGATAGACAGACAGACTGATAGATTGATAGATAGATATGAACAGAGATTAATATGAACTGACTGAAATAGATAGATAGATAGATAGATAGATAGATAGATAGATAGATAGATAGATAGATAGATAGATGAATTGACTGAGATAGACAGACAGACTGATAGATTGATAGATAGATATGGACAGAGATTAATATGAACAGACTGAAATAGATAGATTGATAGATATGAACAGAGATTAATATGAACAGACTGAAATAGATAGATAGATAGATAGATAGATAGATAGATAGATAGATAGATAGATAGATAGATTGACTGAGATAGACAGACAGACTGATAGATTGATAGATAGATAGATATGAACAGAGATTAATATGAACAGACTGATAGATAGATAACTTACTTCTTACTATAGAAGTAAGAAGGAAATGAGGATGATTCATCGTAGTGTACGTGACTTGGTGGGTCCCTCTTGCAAAAGTCATGGCTGGTGGGATCATTGAATGTCGCTCATCAGAACACTTGCCATGGAAATAGCGATAGAGCTCGAGCGACTCGCGACGTTTCATCTATGTAGTGCACATATATACTTTTAAACATTATACGGTAACCTTTCAGTATCAAAATATATGTATGCACTAGCTAGCTCCTACGGAGGGCTTTTGATTGGGCCTTCAGTCCAACAATAACACTTCATACATTTAGTACATATTAAATTTTATTAAACTTAGACAATATTTTCAAAAAATTAAAAGTTTTTATCAAAACAATGATATAATTTGTCTATTTGGAATTTATTGCAAATCTGCATGATAATCAACATTTTTGGTTTTCTCATTCGGACTCAGTATAAATAGTTTGGTTCCATTGCTAACCCTTGAACAACCAACATAGACCGTGAAATAAGAAGGGTTCCATCAGATGAAGTTCAGTTACTTTCAATGATTGTCCTTGGGACTTATTGATTGACACTGCATAGCTCCCTCTCACTGGAAACTGAAGTCTTTTGAACTCAAAAGGAAGATCTGGAGGAATTAAGGGAATTCTTGGAATTAAAACTCTTTCTTCCTTTCCTGGACCAGTAAGGATTTCTGCTTCCAAGAGAAGAGGAAGCATCTTCTTGACAATTAACCTTGTTCCATTACAAAGCATTGGAGAGTCAAAATTTCTCAATAGCATAACTGGCACATTTACTTTTAGTTCCAACTTGTGTGATGGCATTCCAGGAAGATCCAATGAGTTCAGAATCTCTATTGAATAATTCATTGCCTGCTCTTGTTAACCACAGTGTCAATGGAAAAATACTTCATGGTTTCTTTTGGAATTTCTTGGAGAAGTTTCCATTTGATGCTATCCACAGTTTGATACTTGAGATCTCACAAAGCCAATTTGAATCCATGAAATGGTGTTTAATGTTTGGATAAACATGATTAATCAAGTCTTGGATACATGGGACTGAAACGCCACAACCTATTGGAAGTGAAAATCTTCATTTTGGTCCATTTTGATGGTTCCTTTGCCAAGCTGCAACAGTAAAGCAGCAAATCTTCCTGCTTCAAGGTCACTTTTGATTCTAACTCTCATCTTTGTTTTCGGGATGAGTCTTTGAACATGGCTCCAGATGTAAGAATTTTTTTTAATTGAAAAAGTGTGAAGCACACAGACATTTTAGCATTTATTATATAATAAGAATATAGATAAAGAAGGTGAAATTACTGAAAGTTAGAGAGTTGTGTCCCTTTAATTGAAAAAAAAACATTAGTAAAAACTAGTGTTTACTCAACTACAAAAGTAAACGTCCTCGGCGATACAAAATAACTGTTGTAAAAACGATGATTTATCGAGACAAAGTAATCTCACATTCGGACATATTGAACTATAAGGAACTTAGCAACATTAAACAAACCCTAATCAACAATCATTTCTCTAACCACGTCGTCGACGAACAAATAAAATTAGTCTTAACGAAATTTAGAAAAAAAGATACCAGACCCCCTCCCCTAACGCCAAAAAATAAACACACTATTCATATATTCTATGGTAACTAAATGCACCCTAATTATAAACAGGATGAAAAAGCAACTCAAAATAGAATTCACCTGTACATGTAACTCAATGATCCTAACAAACACCTAAGATTTATTATCTTTTACAATTAAGTTGAAAACATTTAACTTAATTATTACCAACAACACCGGGACTTATAAATCACACCCCCTATTAAATAAATAAAAAAACTTAACCGCTGTACATTGACAGTCATTTGTAACAAAACTTATATATATATATATTAATATTAAAAAAGTTCACAAAAATAGTGAATAAATTATATTATATTTTCGTTCATTTTCATAGTAAAAATCATAGTAAAATCATTTTGTAAAATCATTTCAATGCATTTTCATAGTAAAATCATTTTTAAGTAAAATCATTTGTAATGCATTTTCATAGTAAAAATCATTCATAGTAAAATCAATGCATTTTTATAGTAAAATCATTTGCAATGCATTTTCATAATAAAATCATTTGCAATTTTTAGTAAAAATATTTGCCAATGCATTTTCATAGTAAAATTTCAATGTATTTTCATAGTAAATTTGCAATGCATTTTTATAGTAAAATCATTTGCAATGCATTTTTTATAGTAAAAAATGCATTTTTATAGTAAAAATTTGCAATGCATTTTCATCGTAAAATCATTTGCAATGCATTTTCATCGTAAAATCATTTGTAATGAATTTTCATAGTAAAATCATTTTCAATGCATTTTCATCAGAAAATCATTCGCAATGCATTTTCATAGTAAAATCATTTGCAATGCATTTTCATAGTCAAGTCATAAGCAATGTATTTCCTTAGAAAATCATGAAAAAAAACACTCAAAATTCACCGGTACATGTAACTCAATGATCCTAACAAACACCTAAGATTTATCATCTATTACAATTAAGTTGAAAACATTTAACTTAATTATTACCAACAACACCGGGACTTATAAATCACACACCCTCAGTAAAAATAATGTTGTCTATGAATTCTCGTGCTCCCCACTCCCTGGAAGATTGCATACCCAACACTAATAATAAAAAAAAAACAACATTAAATACTTACATTGGGCACACATGTAACACACTCTCTCGCAGACTGACCTGTCACCTGTCCAGTTATAAAGTATAGCCGAAAGCGCTCGGAGATACAGAACATTCGGACAATTTCTACAAAATTTTTGTCCAGAAAAGAAATAAAATATAAAAACACAAGAAAAATTAAATAAAAAAAAATTAACCGCAATACATTGACAGTCATTTGTAACAAAACTTATATATATTTTTTTAATATTAAAAAAGTTCACAAAAATAGTGAATAAATTATTGTATTATATTTCCGTTCTTTTATTTCTTTACTTCGTCTCTAAAATTGTTTAGACGTCTGAAAAGCACATTGACAAGGTTCAAGATTTTTAAAAAATCAATCTTCAATTTTAATTTTTTATATATATATAATTATGAATTTCTCTAACCTTTTTGTGACTTTTTTTTTATTCCGATCGACCAATTTCTTGTGATGACAACATTTGTTTGCACACTTCATTTTTTTTTTTTTTTTTTTTTCTTGAATTCAATTATTATTAGTTTTTAGATTTCTCAGAAAATGGAAACAGTCAAAAATAAAATTTTGAGTCCGACACCCCTACAGACTTTTAGCACCTTTTTATTTAAGTTTTCAGTTTTCTCAACCGTGACGACAACTCATATGACCATTAGATCTTGACTTTCTAATTTAAATCACTGAACTATACCTTTTCAACTTCAAAATGATAATAATCAACTTCAAAATGGATTAATCAACTTCAAATTGGAAAACAACTTCAAAATGAGAAATGATCAACTTCAAATTGAAAATTAATATAACACTAATAAATCTAATATTTATTTATTCTATTTTTACTTAAAAGGGATATAAAAAAATATAAACATCACTAAGAAATTTATTTAAAAGATTACATCATCTAAGTTAATTACAGAGGGAAGTAATCTCTGTATTCCAGATACGAAGTTAGTGCAAGTCTCAGGGGAAATATTATTAATTGCCTCGGAGATCATCGCTTCTAACTTGCTGAGGCGGAATTCTTTAGTAGTTAAAGATCCCTGGCCATCACCTCTTAAAATCGCAACAATTGAGTCTGCCATATTTCTTTTTACGTCAGCTTTAATGACTGATTAAACCTTTTCAATGGCATTTAACATCCGACTATAGGGGGCAAGTGTGAAAATTTGGCGTTGCCTAAATTCATCCTCCTCCACAACTTCTTAAATTGAAGTATGGCAAGGAGCGTTATCAATAACTAAGACAACTCCCTTGTCATAAATTTCATTTGCCTTTCTAAGGCACTCCCTGGTCCATTCTATCACATCCTCTTTTTTGAAAGAACCTCTTTTAATTTTATGATGAATTAATCCATTATTACTAATACATCCAATAACATGGATGTTATTTCCCCTGGATCCGGCCGCGACTGTAGTGCACCTCGTGCCTTTTTTAGAGCGACCTTCTCTTCTTGAAATATGGTTTCATCCATATAAAGAATTGGCACAGTTTGGGACTGAAATTCTAATAAAGCTACTGCGTAATCCTTACGTTTTGCCTTATTGACATTATTATTGGCAGCTTCTGGTTCATAATGAACCGCTTTTAAGGTAAAGGCCATGGAGCCCAAGTGCTTTCTTATTCATTCTTTCGTCACACAAACCTCATACTTTTCAACCAACTTATTTACAATGTCTTGAAGAGTGACCCTAGGAGAGTTTTCAATTAATTCGGCCATAAAATTCTTATGCTCTTGCATAATTTTATATTTTCTTGCTCCTCTCCTAGAGTCACTTTTATCAGCACCCTGGTCTAACCAACAGTACGCTGTTGGCAGAGGCACACCAATTGTTCTTACCAGGTCTTTCCAATTTCCTGCTGCGGCATGTGCAGCTAAAATCTGGGCTTTTTTTCGCCAGCCACACTTTTCTTGAGGTAAGTCCTCTTTGGAGCTGTTGCTAATTCTTCTTCAGCTTCTTTTGTAGAGGTTTCTCAAGCATCAGCATCAATTTGCCCATACGGGACTTTCTCCTCCTACTTTTATTGTGGGCTCACCCAATGCTTTCTTGGCCTCTAAGTTGTTTGTATTTTGTTTTTTTCTTCATCTGTATAATGAAGACGAACAGTCAATTTCCTTACTCATGGGGTAAATTAATTGAAAAAATAATTTTCAATTTACCAAAAAAAATATTTCAATTTGAAGTTGTTTATTCCAATTTGAAGTTGTTTATTCTTATTTTGAAGATGTTTTTAGGTATTTTACATTTTCTCAATTTGAAGTTGATTAATCCATTTTGCAGTTGATTATTTTTTTTACT